CTGAGTTCTCCCAGCTCTCCACCATCCCTCGTGCCTGCCTACTTCACATTTTCCACACTTGCCGAGGCTCTGGGTGAAAGTTGTAGCCTATTCTGATGTTTGTTAGCACACGAGGCAGAGGGATTGCACAGAAAGATTACCTTTACAAAGTCTTCATGTTAGATGGAGCACAGGACTCTTCACCTTCTTGGAGAGCTGAGGAAAATACCACAGGGCTGAATGGATAACACCTGGTGCCACCAGCTTGTCTAATAATTCAGTGTGGTTTTCTGTCATAAAGTGAACTTTTATTGTGCAATCATAGCAATTAATCTGCCCAAAACTTTAGGATCTGGTGCGTATTGAGCAGGGTATGTGTTGGAAGGGTTGGTGTTTACAGGGCCTTGCTGGGCAAGGAGATGTGCCTCAATAGAGCACAAACCACATCAGGTGCTGTCACAGGTCCTGTTCAGCAATCCAAGATAAAAACTACCTCCTCAAAACCGAAATCTATTTGAACATACCACCTTTAGCATTTGGATATGGGAAATAGCTGGACAAACTGTAGCTGAAGGGAAAAAGTGAGACACACAAAAGGACAGTAGCAGGTAACCATCTGTTTCATTTTAATTTATTGACACTGAGCAAAGGTAGCAGGCTGTGTCCATCTGTGTGTGTGGAATTCCTAGGTGCAAGAGATGATCAGCAACTTTCTCCTTGCAGTCCCTAGGTAACTGTGGTTGGCTCTCTCCACGTTTTTTTATTTTTTTTTTTTTTTCTTTTTGCCTGGCCTTTCAGTGCCTTGGATATGAAAAGCAGGAAGGTGAAGTCATGGTCCTGAGCACTCCTCCCCTGGAACTGGCTGTTTCTCTGCAGGCATCAGAGCAGAGGGGAGAAGTGTTCCTGTCAGGGAGAGCGGGTTTGGGGTGAGGGGAGCAGCAGAGGGGAGCGTGGCCTGCTCCAGTGGAAGTGCAAACCTGGACTGTGCCATGGGAAATGGCTCTGGCCAGAGCGCCACAGGGTCTGCCAGGCACCCAGCAGGAGGATGGCTCCAGGGGGGAGCAGGGAGCCATGCCCAGGACGGAGGAGCCTGCAGTCCCTCTGGGATGTCGGTGTGCAGTGGTCCCAGTGCCCCCTGAGCCCTGGTGCCCTGAGCAGTGCTGGGGGAGCAGGGAGGGCAGGAGGCAAACCCAGCGGGATGTTCGCGTTTCTCAGACCTTCCAAGGGCTTGCTTCACTTTCATGCAGTACTGGGAGGAGTTCTGGCAAGCAGCATCAGGCTGTTCTACATATGTTTTGACTCTTCTTGTTTTATGTTTCTTCTATGAAAGAGACTGCAACCAAGTTCTTGTCATTTTTAGATCAGTGTTTTGTTAAACTACGACAGCTATCCATGACAGAGAGCCAACTAACTTTTGCAGCTGACCACAAAACTGAGTCTGACTTGTGGTGCTTAGTCATTTCTTATATTTTTTTTTTACATGACATACTCCATGTGTGTATGTATTTTTGTTCTTTTAAATATAATTAAAACAACATTAGAAAAGAATATTAGAGCAATTCTAGGAGTTGTGGTACAAATCAGTCTTCTCTGGCAGGTTAATTTCTTTGATTAATAAAGTTTTAGAAACTCTTCATCACATTGTGGCTGTTGATGAAACCTCTCTGGTTACACTTTGAACAATTGGGCTATTTTGAGATTGAATGGTCTCTACAGTATTATCTTCTCTGGTTTACCCATTAAAATTTTAAATGATCCAGTCAACAGAGCTCTTGCTCCCCCTCCAGAGAGCCTCTCCTACAATCCAATAGAAATTATGATTAGGAAGCCCTTCATAAAAAATGAAATACTTATAAAATGTCTTTCAGCCTTCTGAGGTCTGATACAAAATTCAGAAATTTGGAATCCCTTCATGTTCAACAAGAGATGCTTCTTCTCCTGGAAGGACAGGAGTGCTCCTTGCTGTTTGTTTTTTGCTGCTTTGTGCTGTCTAATTTTCAGCATTGCTTGTCTCACAAGCAATTCTTCACACCTCTTTCCTGGGTTTGGACCAACCTTGCCTGTTGTTCCCAGCAATATTAGATCTAGGCTGCAGTAGATGCCACCTGGCATTTTTCATAGGGTGAATGGCATTTCCTGCCTGGAACAAAGGGATGTTCTGCTGGGCCCGAGACACTGAAACCCACCTGAGGCACTGGCTGGGCCTCACCTTGCTACTGTTAGAGCAGCTAACCCAGCACAGCAGAGTGGTGGGAGTTTTGGGAACTGCAATTTGGTTTTGAGTTATGATAATGGTGACAAATGGTTTTGTATGAACTTCAGACTGGTGTGGATTTCTCGTCTGAAGTTGTGATGTAGATGTCCCTGTCTGTTGTGGGCAGGGAGTTGCAGTTGGTTGATCTTTAAGGTCCCTTCCAACCCAAACCATTCTGTCATTCTGTGAGGGGAGGCTGGGATAGCGATATCAACAGGTTGCCAGTTAATTTGGGATCAGAGAAAAAAAAATCTTCTCCTTTGTTTCTTTGGAGGTTCCATAAATACTTGGCCATAAACAGAAAGACTCTGTAGAAAAGGTAAATAGGTACTTCCATCAAATGAAAAGCAGTAAGTCACCACCTGAATGCTTTCCAGCAAAGCCACTTGGGATTGCTGCTTGGCCCCTTTCAAACCTTTAGTGATTGTGAAAGTGTTGCTCTGTGTCAGGACTGGGGAAAATCAGCTGCTGTGTGTTTATGGGAAGAGCATAGGACAGGAAATCACAATGCTGCTGACCTATGGTCAGACTTCTGCATCCTGCCAGGGTGCTCTGATCTCTTTCTGCTCTCCTAATACTGTTTTGTTTGGGGGTTTGAGGAGGCAGTTGGGGTTTTTTAATGGCTTGAGATGGAAGATACCTTAAAGATCATCAACTTCCAAACCCCCTGCCATGGGCAGGGACACCTTCCACTGGACCATGTTGCTCCGAGCCCCATCCAGCCTGGCCTTGAGCAATTCCAGGAGTGGGGTCTCCATAATTTCTAACTCTGGGCAGCCTGATCCAGAGCCTCACCACCCTCAGAGCAAAGAATTTGTCTCCAACATCTAATCTAAACCTGCTGTCTACAGTGTAATGCCATTGCCCCTCATCCTGTCTCTCCAGGCCCTGGTAAATTGTCTCTCTCCATCTGTCTCCACAGCTCCCCTCAGGTCCTGCAAGGCCACAGTTAGATCACCCTAAAACCTTCTCTTTTCCAGCCTGAGCAACCCCAGCTCTCATAGCCTTTCCTCCTAGGAGATGTGCCGGTGCAGAGGCTCAGGCAAGCCTGAGCCTGATTGCAATATCTGCCATCAATTTGGAAGAAATACAAAGTAAACTTAGTCCTGACTTTTTGACTTCTGACAGGCTGCTTTGGAAATGAGAGCTGAGTTTAAAAGGCTGGGTCAAAGAGTTTGCCGAAGCTAAATGTCTGAATAGTTCAGGTGCTTATTGGAAGCTTCTCCAAGCTTTCTGGGTCTGCTGTGCCTGGTAGTGCTATGGAAACCCTTTTGCTTGGGATAGGCTGAGTCTGCTGCATGAGCTTTTCCTGCAAAAGCCAAGAGGAGAACTCCTCTTGCATGCTTTCCATAGGGAAGTGTCAGGGTGTAGACAAAGCCCCAGGAGTGTGAAAGGGATTCATAGTGAAAATGAATGTGAGAAATAGGAAAGTTAACCTCATGTTCCCTAAACTCTGTGAAAATACAAAGTTGAGCAGATTAGCCTTGTTTCTAACTCTTCCTGGGAAAATTTTTATGCAGTGACTTACATGAATCTGAACCATTCTTTGAATTGCAGATGCAGGGACATCACTTTGCAGGAAGCATTTCTGTATTCACATTGTTCTCTTTTCTGTTTTCCTATGTAACACATCCCAGTGACATTATTAGGCTACATGAAACAGTTGCCATGTGGAAACTGAAAGGTTTTTTTTAGTTTATTGATCTTTTACAGCCAACAGGAGTAGAACAGAGCAAGGAAACAGAAATCTTTTCTTTCAGGAAGAAGCTCAAAAGAATTTTTTCAACTGGAGCCACTTCATTATAATGCCACATCATTTCATTTTCTTAGCTTTGCAAAAGGCACGGTGCCTGAGATTTTGAAATGTTAGTATTGCTTCCCTAAAAGACTTATTTTTAAACATATGATTGTCAGGAAGAAAGAATGCTCAGGAGCAGAAGTCATTGGAAAAACAAAAACAGCTGGAAAATGGAACACCTTTGTGTTTGTAAAGTCAAACAATTCAGGGGGAAGCGAGGTGTTTTGAAGAGGACATTGGAGTTAATTGCCCTGGCCTGTTGTTCTGGCAGTCTTTAGGCACTGCTGCAGCCTGACAGATTAATTGGCAGCACACAGCAGCCTGTTGCAATCCAGGGTTCACAGCTAGTTCTGACCAGATGAGTGATGGACGGGGTGTTAGTAGGGTTGGACAAAACAGTCTGGACAAGAACACAAACTGCTGCCCAGGGATCATGCTTAATTCAGGCTGAACCTTCCCCAAGGCCTGAGTAAGTTTGAACTGTAGGGTGTTTTTTCTTTCCCTATGGGCTGCTTCCTAAAATACTGCCTTTTAAAAAAGAAACAGAGCAAAGCCATCCATGTCTCTGCACTTGGATTGCGGGCTAGAAATAGAGTGCTACAGTAAATGCATTGCAAAAGAGCATGTGTCACCTAAACTTCAGGCCAGCTTTGCAGTCCCAGGAACACAGAGAGCTGAAGTATTCTTCAGATGTGCAGCCAGTTTTATCATGCCTAACCAAGCCAGTCTTTTCAACACTAGAGTTTGCTTATCACTAGCTAATGAGCAAGTTTTGAAAAGGACTTTATGGCAGTCTGTATCCCTGTCTCTTCCAGAAGAACCAGTTATTTATTCTTCAATACATGGCTCAGTAAACTCTTGTGAATAGTTATCTAGATTCCCTGTAAACCTCCTAAATAATGTACAAACTTTGGAGTTACAACATTTCATTATTTTCCTGATCCAAATCCTGTCATCTTGCCCATATAGGACAAAACAACACTGGAGACCCTGACCCAGCAGCTGGCAGTAAAACAGAGTGAAGATGGGAAGTTCAGCCACGCAATGATGGATTTCAACATGAGTGGAGATTCTGATGGTCAGTACAAATGGCTTTTCCAGATTTCCAGGTTTGTGTGTGTGTCAGTGGATCTGAGGGAGAATCCAAGTGCTTTGGAAGCCCATGAGAAATATGAGCTGTTAGCAATAAGTGGCTACGAAACAAGGCAGGAGGAAGTGATTCATTGTGGGGTGTTTTAAGTCTGGAGATGATTTTTAACCTTCCCTCTGTCCACTGAAGATCTCCAGATGGGACCAAAAATGTATTTTTGATAATAAAAGGTACTAAAGGAGGCAAATATATGTAGGGTAAGTGAGATCACACAGGGAAGCCATGAAGTGTAGACCTGATCCTCCATAAGTGCTGTGTGCTCTGCATCTGTGGGGGCTTCACTGGTTTGATGAAGCAAGCACAATGTTTTTTTGTTTCTCTGCTGTTGCATATATTGTTAAGGAGATGTAGGCACAAAAACAGGCAAGTATGTAAATATTCATTTGCTAGTTAGAGAATTGCTTAAGGAGAAATGCCCAGTATTGCCATCTATCACACCCTTTCTGTCGTAGAAAAGTGGAAGAAAGGTGGCATAATATGACCGGCATTCTGTAAGCAAGAAAGGATGCAAATAAAAAAGTAATTCTGCACTGATAAGTATATATTTGGTGTATGTAATTAAGCAGTAAAAGATGGCTTAGAAAAGCTGTGTGATACTTTGTATCTAAAAGCAATCAAAACTCCTTGTCAGGCCTGTACTGTCAGTACTGAATTACTAGGATGACTGAAGCAGGCCATACACAATGCATTAACCATGAACCTGTTGCGAGTGCCGACTCCTGGAGCATGCAGCAGCTGAGCCTGGCAGAGGAAGCTGCGTGCACCACGAGCTGGCTGCATTTTGCCGTTGCCTTGCAGGAAGCGCGGGGGTTTCGGAGTCGCGGATTTACCGGGAGTCGCGAGGGCGCGGCAGCAACGAGCCGCACATCAAGCGCCCCATGAACGCCTTCATGGTGTGGGCCAAGGACGAGCGCAGGAAGATCCTGCAGGCCTTCCCTGACATGCACAACTCCAACATCAGCAAGATCCTAGGTAAGAGAGAGCTGGAGAGGATTCCGACCGAGCTTAGCTGAGCGCCTGACAGAGCAGAATTGCTCCTTTCTCTCTTGTTCTTCGGTCGCTTCAGTCACTGCACCAAGAGCAGTGGCAGGAGTTTCCCCTGTGCTGCCCAGCAGTGTGCATTAACCACAGCCTGAAATGTTCTTTGTAATTATTGAGATGGTGGCGGCGATTTGGCCATGCACAGAGGAGAGATGGAGTAGCCTGTAGTTCCCGGGTTTTCCTCTTTGGACATGAGGGTTACATTTCTCCTTTTTCCAGAGAGCAGTAACTTCACCAGGCTGCCAAAGCTTCTCCAATAGGATGAACATGGCTTGGCCAGTTCCGTCAGTTCTCTCTGGTCCTGCAGATGCATCTCGTCAGGTCCCACAGATTTGTGCACATTCAGGTTCTTGAACCTGATCTCCTGCACTCGGTGGTTCTTCATTCTTCCATATATTGAAAAGAATTTTTTAAAAACCCTGATTTCCATATTGTCTGCTCTTCACCTCCTGATTAATATTTGTCATGAGCATCATCTACTGAAACCCATGCCAAAGTCTTCCAACTTGTCACTGGTTGATCAGATTCTCAGGACCATGTTCTGTCCAAAGTTGCTCCTCTGTGTTGTGCTGGATGATGCAGTAGGTGACTAGTGAGGCTCACCGAGGCCAGTGAATTACTTCTCAGCAGAAAAATTGTATGTCTGTGACCAAATTAGAGATACTGTATTTTTACCAATAAAAACAGCTACAGGACCTAAGCATCCCTCAAGCCAGTGGCTAAGCAGGAAAGGTGTTTACCTGTGCTGCAGATCTCACTGCTTTTGCAGGCTGCTCAAGAGATGCAGTGCAGTTCTACAGGCAGCATTAACCAGCTGCAGGGCTGGTAAATGTGCCAGGTTTAGACTGGTCAGAGGTTGGAGGCTTACCTTGATCAGAGTGGTATTATGAAAAGTTAGCAGGGGGCAAGTGGGAACGAGATAAATTGGTTGGAGAAGCAAAATGTATTGCCACGGATGGCAGATGTGATGATATTAACCCATGATTTAAAGGGTGGTACGAGATGATTGGATTAGTTATGGGAGCAGGAGTAGAAGGCTAAATTGGTTATGTTGATGGCAATAGAGCCTTCTACTGGTTAAAAGTGATTATACTGGTCAGAGGTGTATGATGTGATTAGCCGGAGGACAGGGCAGTAATAGTTTTGGTCTGTTTCTAAATTGAGAGTAGACCTGCTTAAACCTGTTTTGAAGTAATCAGCTTCAGAAATCTACAAGATCATTCTGAATGGCCCTTTTCATATAGAAAGTACAAAGAGAGCTTGATGTTTTCCCTCTTAACTGATTGTTTTGGATAACAACCTCCGACAGCACGCTGCTAATTCATTCTGCTTAAAACAGGCGCTTGAGCTGGGCTGACATTTTACGCAGTCTCTGGGGATCCTGGTTGACATTTTAAAGGGCTTCTAAGCATTTTATAATACCCTAAAATCTGGTTTTAATAAGCCATTCTGCTGAAATTGTTAACATAAGGAATCACCTTTTACTATTTGGCGCTAGATCAGGGAGATATGGAGACATCTTTTTCTGATTAGATATACAGTAGTTGGAGTAAAATGTGCAAATTCATTACAGATCCTGTTGAGGTGACAGACAGTATAGCTGACTCCAAACTCTCTGTTTTGCTGCCAGATACGGGGAAAAGCAAGGTCTGAGACAGTGAAAGATGATGTTTCTATCTTTACAGCATCACATTCGATTTTTTTTTTTCTCATTCTACGTGTGCAATAGAGAGGGATGTCCTGGCATCTTCCTTCTTGACAGAAACATTACAAAGTTCTTCCCTCAGCTGCAAAAGGCCACTCTTTTGAAGTCAGCAGGGAGCTGTCTGTTAACTGGCACAGGGTGACCAATTAGAGGCTCACAGTTCAACCAGGTATTAAGGTGTCCTTATTAGAAAGCCACAATTTTTCCTTCACATTTTCCCAGCAGCACTGCTACACACTGAGGTCACAGAGCTTGTCACTCAGAGTAACTCAGATAGAGTTCTCACCAACTGAGGGTCATTTTTATAGCAAAATGAGAGGAGGTGCCCTTCCCAGCACTAGAATTCTCTAGGGATTATGTTTGACACTGTGGTATTATGTTTTGAGCATAAAAATTAGATACACGGATTTGTCACTAAATTCATCTGTGCATACGTTTGTCATCCATCTGTTCATTGCAACTTAAACTTGTGGATAATGGTTTTTTTAGTAAATTGTTAAAAAAGTGCTAAAATGGGACTGCTGGACCATGTCAATTTAATAATGCATTGTTTAGATATTTCGGTAAATATTTTAATTAATTTCACGGAGAAAAAAGATTTTAGGAAAAAAATTAAGTCAATTACTAGCTTCAGAAATTCTCTTGGAATGTATACTTGTGTTTACACAAATGTGTACACATTATACATTATACAAGTGTTTGTCTATGTGAGAATGTTTTTTAAACATCAAATCAGCCTGATTCAGGTACTCAGATTGAAAAATGTCAGTCTAATGCACTGAAAATTAGAGAATATTGTAAGCTGAAAATTCTTGTCAGAGAAATTTGGCTTAAAATCAGCAGTGGGCAGAGCTCTGAACCTTGCACGTGTGTGCCTGGAGCACAAGTGCCTGGGCATGGTGAGGGCATCTCTCTTCTGCCCTGGACTCCAAGATTTGCCCTGTCCAGATGTGCTCCCAGTCACACACAGCTGTGTGGGCACAGCTCTGAGTGCCCTGGCTCAGCTGGGGGCAGGGGCTGTGCTTGGTGCTGCAAACTCTTGGAATTTGCTTTTTTTTTTCCTAAATACTTCGGCCACCACATCAGGGAGAATTGTGCTGGGATCCTGCCTGTGCTTTTGCCTGCAGCCAGGGAGGGGAGTGGGCTCTGGTTTCGTAGCCAAGGACAAAAGCCCTGCATGCTTCACCCACTCAAAGCTTTCCAACACAGATGTGAGCAGAGAGCTCGCTCAAGACTGCAAATCTTCCCATAAAAATAAAGGTTTCTCACATTTCTGCAATCATACCTTGTTTGGGCTTGGGTTTGGCACCATGCGTAGGTGCCCATGCCTGCCTCTGTGTGTTTGTAGACACACAAAACAATGACAAATAAAGCTATTGCAAGCATATTTTGTCCAAATATTATGTTGATTGATGGTACTCATTCATAGCTTACCCTGTGGGTAGAAATTCCAAGATCAGAGTTACATACCCTTCAAAATTTCAAAATTTCAGATCAAGACGGTTCAGATAATTGATTGGATTATGTAAATTATTAAGAAAATAAGTGAAAATGATCAAATGTAAAGAGCAATGGTTTACCATCAGAAAATGTGCCCTTTTTAAAAATTTATTTTGACAGCATTGTTTGTTTAATTATGTATGATACTTCAAAACATACTAGTAAAGTATATTTACTACATTTTGTAAGAACAATGAAGTCATAGTAAGAGGAGGCATCACTGCAGAAGGCAGCTATTAAAAATTGGCTAGGAAGAGAGATGAAACTACCTGGATTTTTGTTGTATTTGGGTGTGCAGGCTCAGGAAGAAAAAATACAATGAGTGACATTTATGTATAAGTATTGTGTGTATAACTGTATGTACAGATATTGTGCATCAAAATTTCATGTTCTGTGGCCCTGATCCTGCCCTGTTTTCCTGCCTTTACTTTCCCACTACTTCTTGTCACCTGTGGGGTAGGAATCTGCCTGCCCAGGTCTGACTGTAGGTTTGCAGCAAGGGGAGTGGCACAGCAGAAGAGAAACTGTGCTGGAATAGAGCATTTTCATGGTAATTTTTCAAGAGCTGACCTTAATTTCTACCTTCTTGTACATTTGTCTGTCTCAAAATATGTGTGAGTGCCTGCACTGCAGATCCCTTCACAGCATACAGAGCAAATGTCAAGATTTGTTTAAAGACTGAGCTTCTCAACTTTTGTGATTCTCCTAGTGCTGTGTCTTGTTCTGATGCAGCACCAGGAGAAGGGGCTGGGTGTTTCCCTGGGTGTTAGAGCTTCAGCAGGTCTGTGATTAGACTGCTCTGGATTTAGGCTAACTCTTGGGGTTTTCTTTGCTGAAACGTCAGTGTGTCAGTGCCTACATGCAGAATTTGAAAGCACCCCCACATCTGGGCATCTTCCAGAGCTCATCTGCTTTACTGTAAATTCTCAACGTTGTTCAACCCCGGCCCAGCCTGCGTTTCCCTCTTAGGCAGCATGAGTTGGTGTGCAGTGTTGTGACAGTCGCTGTGTCATTCATCCCCAAGCCCAGGAGGAAAGCCAGTGTCATTTTTCCAGCCACTCTCTTTGCCAGGAAAAGCTGGGAATCATTTCCGTGCAGAAGACCAAGCTGCTGAGCAGGATTCTGCTCCCAGGGCTGCTGCCCCGTGTAACACAGAGCCCTGGCAGCAGTCCCCAGGTGCAGGCACTAGCTGTGTGTGGCATTGGAGGGCACGTGCAGGAGTTTCAGTCCTGACCCCAAAAGCCATCTAGCCAGGCAGTTGTGGTGCTGGGCCTAAGCTAAAATCAGTGTCATTAAACTCCTGCCCACTCCAGGACTAGCTGGGGGATCTCTGCGTGCTGAATGCTGTAAACAGGATGAAAAATGATGGGTTTGGCTTCAAAGCAGTGTTTGCTGAGAAAGGCACGCCCGCTGCCCCTTCTCAGGACAGACATCACTGTTTGAACATTGCTTATCTCTGCACGTGAGGTCAGCTGGTAGCAGCTCTTCCCTCTGGAAGCCCAGACTGCATAATGGAGTAAAGATCCACAGAGTAATGGGGGAAATGGTGTCAATAATCAGAAGGGGCCTTTCTAGAGGGAATGAAGGTGTTTTCTTTCCTGGGGAAAGGATAACTGTGTTCCCTCTACTGCAAGTGGGATAAGACCAGCCTGAGCAGTAGCATGAGCTGACCATAAAAAATGAGGAACAAGAGGAAGTCAAGTATGACGTATGGCATTATGAACCCATTAAATTGAGAAACTACTCAAACATTTTTCCAGTGGGAAACTTGACTATTTTCCAATAAAGTTTTCTTTCTAGGCCACAGGTTTCACAGCTTGAACTATTCCTGTTATTTGAAATGTATCTTACCCTGAAGCACTTCTGTATTTAATGGAAAAATAAAATGGGGCAACTGATTCAAGAACTTTTACTTTCTGCTCCCATATTATATCCTTTAAGAAATATTAGTTTATAACTTTCAGCAGGCAGTTGAAAACAATTTTGAAGTCTTTACTATATCCCTATCTCAGATATCCACGTTAGCATAGTCAGAAAACAGGGCTGGCAAGCCATAGTGCAGCTCCTGGGAGAGAAGTGCAGTAGCCCAGTGCTTTTCCCTTCATGACACAGTAAATTCTTTAAGTTGGGGCTGGCAATGTTTCCCAGCACTTGCTCTTGGAGTTAAACCCCCCCTGACACATATGGGATAGTTTACAGCTTTTAGAGGCATTGCTTTAGGGTCTTTGCAGGCTCCTGAACATGACTGCAGAGCATTTACAGTCAGCTCCTCTCCTGACCACCAGCCTGGGAGCCAGGAAGACCTGGTGTTTGTCAGGGAGGATTGGGCTGAGGGCTTGTGCATGTCCAGATGTGATGCCTTGGTCCAGCCGTGGATCACAGACAGCAGCACATGGAGCAGGAGCTGTGAACAGGCACGTGGCCAGGGCAGTGTGGGGCCCCAGCAGAGCAGACTCTGCGTGTCCCTCCCTCCAAAACACACTGCCTTGTTTCCTGGAACAAAGTGTCAGGGATTGTCAGGATTGTGGTTTTGCTGCCCACCTGAAAGGCTTTGGAAGGTAGATAAACTTCAGTAACATATTGAGTCACAATTTCCAGTGCCACCTCTCTCTACATCTTGGCCGTACCCAGGCAGTTTATGAGTCAAATACAAACAAGACCAGAACCCTGTCTAGAAGCTCTGACAGATTCCCAGCCCAAAGCCAAATGGCCTTAGGTGTCTTCTTCTGGGTGACCTACTTGTTTCCGTGCCTTGCAGCGTTTGGGGATGAGCAGCCTCTCATCTCTTTTCTTTCTCCTTTTTTTTTTAATTTTTGGTGACAGGGTCTCGCTGGAAAGCTATGACAAACCTAGAGAAGCAGCCATACTACGAGGAGCAGGCCCGGCTCAGCAAGCAGCACCTGGAGAAGTACCCAGACTACAAGTACAAGCCCAGGCCGAAGCGCACGTGCCTCGTGGACGGCAAGAAGCTGCGCATCGGCGAGTACAAGGCCATCATGCGCAACCGGCGCCAGGAGATGAGGCAGTACTTCAACGTCGGGTAAGGCCTTCCACACGCTCATTCCGTCCAAAAACTAACACTCATCAGGGGCAATTCTTAATCATGGTTTACTGGCAAGAGTGTTGAATGCTGCTGACAGAAAATGGGAGCTGTATTTCATAGCAAGGTGTTCCAGGGTAGTTTCAGGAACCTTTTTGTTGGTTCTGTTTTACACTCAACGCCTCGGCCAACTGTCTCATTTCCACTCTGAGCATGAAAAAAAAAGGCTTTAAGATTTTCTAATGAAACTTACTTCTAATGAAATAAGTCTGCTAATAAAGCCTTACAACTGTTACAAAGCCTCAGAGAGAGTACCTGAAGGAATCCGTGGCAGTGCCTCTGGATCCAAAAGCCAAAAAAAGGAGTCTGCATTCCGTAGGATCTGTGGCAAGGGGTCTGCAAAAGGACTGCTGAGCACACTGCACTTGAGCTGGGATGTGAACGTGGCTCAGTTGATTGATGCCAGGCTGTATTCATATCATGTCTGCATTGTTCATTTGTCCTTCCAGGGAGTGTCTTACAGTCCAGCAAGTTAAATGCTTTCTGTTGAGCAGAAATTTTAAGACTAGTTCTGATAAACAGCTAAAGATCAGTTTGATATGATTAGAATAAAATATGCCTAGAAGACTAGCATATATTTTCCTTCTGCAGATATTCCTTGGTGTTGGTTACAGCAGATCAAAAAGAATCTGAAGTAGTCAAATATTCCACAATATTTCTGTATTCACATGAGAAAATTAAAAGCTACCCAGAGATCCTAAAAAAAAAAAAAACAAAACAAAACCAGCAACAAGAGTGACCCTCTGAAATAATGGAATTTGTGTTCTGTTTCATCTGAGTTTGGAATCCTTTTGGTATTAACTGGGTTGCACATCTCTTTAGTTGATGGCTGGAAGTAGCACTAAAGGAGAGAACATCTATCCAGTGACTGTTAAGTGTCAGCAGACTGTGTTTTAAACAGCTACAGTGTGCATTGTTAGAATAAGCTGCTCAGCAGAGAAATTTGAGCTGCTTAACCCTGTGGTGCTGGCAGGTCCAGTGATCCCAGTGGTAAGCACTGAAACAAACACAGGGAAGTCAGCCAACATTCGGCATCAAGAGATTAAAAAAGAGGAGGGGGCCTTATGGAAAAAGAATAGGTGGCAACAGAGCCCCCAAAATGCTGCTTATCTGGTTAACATGCATGCCTCATCACGGGGAAAAACATTAACCTTGTAAATTCTGCCTACAGAAATTCAGCTTTCCAAACAGGGCTGACATTGAAATCAAGACATTTGTGGAGGTAATTTGCAGTGGGGCAGGTCCCAGGGTGAAACCTTGCTGGCAGCAGCTGGCAGAGTGGCCGTGGCTGCAGCCACCAGTCCCAGCACTACGCTGCATTCCTGCTTTAGGTTCCCCATCTGCTGCATCCCCCAGCACAGGCCTGGTAGGGCTAAACCCCCAAACCTGAGCCCAGCTCGTGCCTGGGCACCGCACTAAGGGCTTGGTTCAACAGGAGCTGTGGCTGTGCTGGGGGATCCCAGCGGGAAGGATTGGGAGTTTTTTCGTGTCTCCTATTTCAGTGTCCTCATCTTCAGTGGTAGCGTGTCAGGCACGGCCTGCTGAGAGCCCTGATACATTAGTACCTGAGGACTGCTGCAAGATCCTCTAGGCTGAGCATCCCATAGAGGTGGAAAAATACTGTTCTTAAATTATTTAATATTTGAAAAGCACTCTGAAAAGCAGCATTTAAGTGCAAAGTGTTCCTATTGTTAAATATTAAAACAAATTTAAGTGTGCTGAATCTTGTTGCAGAGATGCTGACTCCAGAAAACAAAAGCCTTCCTACTGAATTAAGAGCAAAATGCAAATTAGATCTGCTCCCTACTTTAAGAGCTGCATCTTCAGCTGAGACAACTTGGGTTGTTTCAGAGACGTGGAAATAAGGGCTCTGTGGAGGGAGGCCTTGCTTGGATGGCAGGCAGGAAGTTTCTGAAAATGCAGCAAGCAATCCCAAACAAATATAAAGCTGCTTGGCAGAGGAAAGTCTTTCAGGATCACTGTACTGTGTGAGGCTTACTGTGCAGCCAGGGCACAGGCAGGCAGGGGAACAGGGAAGGGTTTCATTCTTAATTAAGAATGTTCATCTCAAGAGACTCTGCCCTGTCTCCTGTGGCAAGGCTTTTCAGTGCAGATGGACACACCGCTGATGACATTACAATGTGCAGCATGTTCTGAACAGAATTACTGCAATGGAATTACTTCATGCAGGAAGGCAACAAAAGGAGCATGAATTTTAAACCTCTGGGCTTGTCGGGACTCTGAAGCTTCTCAGGGAAACAAACACTGTGTATAGCACAGCTAGTGTTCTTGATGCAAAGGGAATTTCTGTGGCCTGGAATAATTCTTCTTTCATTACTGCAGACAGGATTCCGAGGCTTAGACGCTGTGTAAAGGCATCCTGTAGGAGATTTTCTCAACTGCTCATGTTGTTTCCTTGCTTTTTATTTATTTTTCAATTGTGCCCGCTTCCATTTTAAGTCTGCCTTTTCCCTCTCTTCCTTCAGAGAATCTGCTTTTCACAGGGGCTGCTCCCAGTGGAAACCCTCACCTTCCAGTGGGAGGCCTTTGGTGACCCGTGCTGTAAAGTCACCTTGGCTCCAGAAAGCCCACTGTTCCTCTCCCTGGTAATGAGCAGCTCTCTGAAGGAAAGTGGAGTAAGCATTGTCTCTGCTTTCTCCTCACCCAGAGGCATTTTCCTGCAGCCCCTTGCCATTCCTGTGCGGTCTGCCTAGACCTTGCTGCCTCTCTCCTGTTGGCAGTTTATGTCTGCTTACTGGGACTCCTCTGTCCAGTCCCGATGGCAGGCTGGATTTTTTAAAAGGAAGCTTTTCAAAACATACGGGTTTTAGGTTGGGCCACATGTGGCAAGCGTGTTTATTTTTGGGTGCAGAAAAGACGTTTTCCCCACAATCAGGCCAGCTGAAGCTGTAGCTGGGGTGCAGCTAGAGGGTTTTCTCACCAGTGGAACTGGTCGGGGTTCGTTTGTGAGCACGGCTCGGTGAGTTCCCGGCGCTGCTGCAGGAACTGCCGCGCGTGCCCCGGCGTTCCCCGCAGCGTGCCAACCCCTGCGCTCTCTCCTGGCAGGCAACAAGCGCAGCTGCCGCTGGCCACGGCGGGCGTGGTGTACCCGGGAGCCATCGCCATGGCGGGCATGCCCTCGCCGCACCTGCCCTCGGAGCACTCGAGCGTGTCCAGCAGCCCCGAGCCCGGCCTGCCCGGCCTGCAGAGCGCCTACGGGGCCAAGGGCGACGAGCCGCACGTCAAGGAGGAGCTGCAGCCCGACGAGGCCAACGGCGACGTCTACGACGACTACGACGAGGAGGAGGAGGACCCCGATGCAGACTATGGCAGTGACAGTGAAAACCACATGGCGGGCCAGGCCAACTGATGGGGCCCCGCCGCCCGCAGGACTTCAAGGAGGAAAGGAAAACAGAAATCCATAAAGCCCCGTCTGGTTTATCCTTGCCAGTGGCCAAGCACATTAACTTTCTCATACACTGACTGTTACTTTAACTGTTAGTCTTAACTAGTTGGGACATCAGCTGACTAATAGACATCAGCCTGCGTCAGAAGGAAAAAGGCTCAGAAGAAAGGAAACAAGGACAACGACAACAACAACAGAATGATATAAGCTATGGGTAAAATAATGCCAGTAATTCAGCTGCTATACCCAAGCACTGAAGTCTTACCCGTTGACCTTTTATTATTATTATTTTTTTTTCAAATAAACTTTATGGCTGTTTGTTCTACAATGTTCTAGAAATTCTCACTCAGGTACACAGTGCCAACAAGTGGCTTGTGAATGTGTTTTGTTGTTTTGTGCTACAGTTTAAAGAGAAATAATTTTTTTTTTTTTTGGTAATGCACCTGACAGGAAAAAAAAAAGATAAAATTCCTTTTAACCCCCTCTGTCTCCTCCTCCTCCTCTTCTTCCTCTTCCTCCTCTTCCTCCTCCTTCTCCTCCTCCTGACTGACGTCAAATCTGGGTCAGAAGTGTGTGTGTGTGCGTGCCTGTGCGCGTGGCTGGCAAGGAAGGAAGTGGGGAGTCTTTCTGTTAACCCCAACAAGCATTTCCTTTCAAGAGAGGACTTCTCTTCATCAGTTGCACACCATACTGAGTCTTTGAGCAAGTGCCAAATTTGTACTAAAGCGCTGAACTAGTCCAATTTGCTTTTTTTAGGTTGGTCTCTTCTTGTTTTGTTTTTCTTTGGTTTTTCATTTGCTTCTTGCTCTGTCTGAAGTTAGGACAGTGTTATATCTTAGACAATCCCTTGAAGAACCTGATATACCAGCAGCTGGTGAGATTAGACATATATTTTTGCTTTTGCTTTTGCTTTTTAAAGGAAACTGTAGGTGCTGTTCTCAGGTGAAAAAAAAAAGAGAGAGAGAGAGAGACATAAGAAATTTAGAGAAAAAATATTTTATGGTCTTGGATTTTCATGTGTGCGTGTTTATGGTACTAATAAGAATAATCTTGGACTATCGTGGGCAAAAAGCATGTTCCAGAATGAAGTCCTGCACCCTCCAAGCAACTTGGTCTGTAAGAAACCTTTACTTTTAGTTTGCACTTCAAGTGGCAGCATAAACAACATAAAAGGCTTGTCCAAAATGTGGTTTGTTCTGCAGAGGACACAGCAGCTGGAAATGTTACCAGGTGCTGAGCATAATTAAGTTACCACCAAGCGGGCCCAGTTTGATGAACTCGTCCCTTCAGGCTGGTTGAGTACTGATTTCTGATTCAAAGGGCCATTTTTTTTTTTTTTGACTGACTTCTTTTTCTCCCGTGCACTGGCAGAGATTGTTCTTGTATCAGTGGGATGTTTGCGTGGGAAGGAAGGCTGATAGCTGAGAGGAGATTTCTGTATTCCAAGGAGGGTTGCAAGAACTCAGCCCAGTGCAGTGCTGAGTTCCCCTTGCTGCTGCCTCTCACAGCTGAAAAATCATTCTCTGTGCTCAGCAGTCTGCAGTCCTGTTGTAGAGCAGTCCCACTGCTGGGGCAGGATCAGGGAGCTGTCGGAGCTGCTCTTTGCCCGGGAGGGGAAGGGAAGCTCTTGGCACAAACCTTCCTCTGAATCGTTCTTCAGCTGAGGATGCCAGCTCTGTGTCGCTTCCCAGTAAATTCCTACTCCCAGAGGGAGCAGCATTGCTGTTGGTACCCCTGTACCTTACAAAATCAGCCCCCTTACAAAATCAGCCCCCTTACAAAATCAGAGCCCTGCTCAGCGCTGCTTGGCAGCCCTGACTTCGCAAGCAGCCCCTCAGTCAGGCAAGTTCAGCCCTTGGTGGCAGGTGCAGGACGGTGAGCAGGACAGGCAGGAGGAGGGAATGCTTTTCCTGGCCTCTCGAAATCCCACTGGAAGTGTAACTTGAGCTCTGCAGACCTCGTGCAAAGCAAAAAGCAAATGCCATTGAGCGCTTAGGACAATGCTCCCACGTTTGGGCATGTGACAGTTGCACCCTGCTACATCTCTTTTCTTTTTCTCTGTTCTCCCCATTTTGATTTCCACCTCTGCTTTGAAACATTCTTTTCTGTTTTCTCTCTCTCAGAAGATTTGCTCTGAAATTATGCTTGGAGTAGCTGATCATATCCTCCGTGTCAGAGAGGGTTCTTTTCTGTTTGTATTTTATGACTGTGTTGGGGTTTTTGTTTTTTTTTTCAGTTGAACTGCCTCTTCTTGCTAGTGTTGAATGGTAATTATAATAATAATAATAATGGTCAGCTGTTCCCAGATTAGTAAATTATGTATAATTTATTTACACCCTCCCCCCTTTTTTAACTTTATTTTATTCTGTTCTAATTTGGCAGTGCAGCAAATGAAGCTGTTAGGCTATTTAAAATGGATACCCCTCCCCACCTTACCTTTTTATATATATATAAATATATATATATATATACATATGAAAACAAATCGCTTCTTCTTCTGCTCACACCATTTCTCTTTCTTTTATTTTAATTTTGGCCCCAGCCATGTCAACTTCTGATGTTTATTATGATGGAGTGAATTAATGGGAGTGTTGTTTTCAATCTTAATTAACTTCTGCTCTCTCATCACTCATTTTAGTTATTTAATTACACCAGTCATCTAGAGCCAATTTTTTTGAAGCACTCTGTTTGGATAAGAAGGAAAAAAAAGTAGACAATTGTTTTTATATCATTATTATGTACAATGTGAAAACAGATATTTGCTCCTTTTTATTTTAATTTTTTTAAAACTTTTAAATTTGTTCCCTGTCTTTGTGAACAAATTACTTCTGACTCCTGTGGGTTCACCTCACATTTGCTGGATGCTTGATTTCCACCACAGTTGAGAGTCCCTCCGGTTGAATTGTGTCACTTCAGGCCACCAGGATACTTTGTTTTAGCTCCAGGTAGGTGCCTCGCTGCGGGCTGGGGCTGGAGCAAGCCTTGGGCTGGCAGGGCTCAGGGGGAAGGGGCCCTTGGGCTCCAGTGGGACCAACTCCTGGCCCTGAAATCCCAGGAGAGGCTGGGGGCAGCCTGCTGGGCACCAGGGCTGGGCAGTGCTGCTGTCCCCAGCCTGCTGTCCCTGGCACAGTGGGCAGTGCCTGCTGTCCCCAGCCTGCTGTCCCCAGCCTGGTGTCCCCAGCCTGCTGTCCCTGGGCACCAGGGCTGGGCAGTGCCTGCTGTCCCCAGCCTGGTGTCCCTGGCAGAGGGCAGTGCTTGGTGTCCCCAGCCTGGTGTCCATGGGCACCAGGGATGGGCAGTGCTGCTGTCCCCAGCCTGCTGTTCCCAGCCTGCTGTCCCTGGCACAAAGGGCAGTGCCTGCTGTCCCCAGCCTGCTGTCCCTGGCACAGAGGGCAGTGCCCTCCCCAGAGCTCCCAGCCTGCTGTCCTTGGGCACTGGGGATGGGCAGTGCCTGGTGTCCCCAGCCTGGTGTCCATGGCAGAGGGCAGTGCCTGGTGTCCCCAGCCTGGTGTCCATGGGCACCAGGGATGGGCAGTGCCTAGTGTCCCCAGCCTGGTGTCCCTGGCAGAGGGCAGTGCCTGCTGTCCCCAGCCTGGTGTCCATGGGCTCCAGGGATGGGCAGTGCCCCCCGAGCCCCCAGCTGTCCCCTGCCCCAGCCAGGGCAGGCTGTTCCTTGCACGTCCCCTCGGAGGCTGTGCCCCACCTGCCTGCCCTGGGGCTGTGGGAACGGGCTGCTGCAGCACACTGTCCCCATCCTCCACCTTTGGGATGTTGAAACCGATGCAGAAATGTTAAAAAGGAAGGAAAAAAAAAAAAAAAAAAAAAAAAGGCCAAAAGATGAAGACGTAAATAAATGGCTCTGGGGTTCCAAACCAGCAAAGTGCTTAACACCCATGCTAACATTTTCTGAGGTCCAAGGATGAGCACCCACATATCCTTCAGCAGCAGAAGACCAGATTTGAAAATAGGGTACTGTTTGTCCCTCTTGATTTTCTGGGGGAAAAAAAACCCTAAAAAACAAAAAAACCCAAAATACGCATTTATAAAAATTATCTTCCTGTCTTTTTTCTTTTCTTCTTTTTTTTTTTTCCCTGGGCTCTGTGCCCTGGAGCACGTAGAAAAGCCAGGTTAGAAGAGATTAGGATTTATTACCCTAGAAGCTCATTGAGGCCCTAGTGCCCCTCTGCCCTGGGGAGCTGCCTGGGGGTGTAAGGCCACCTCCTCCTGCATGGGGGAAGCCACCATGCATCTTGGGAGCTTGAGAAAGAACATCTCCAGCAGAGGGGAAAAGGGGAAAAGAAAGGAAAAAACGGAGGCACTTGCTTCTAAGCTCAATTAAATAACACAGAGTATATCCTTTTTTCCATTTATTCATGCCTTATATTAGTAAAATAGGATTTTTAAGTGCATTTAACATCTTTATCTAACCGTTCCGCTATATTAATCAGGCCCCCAGAAAAGAACACTAGCTATTATTATAGCATTTAATTAGTTTTGTAACCAAATCCTCTTATTATGAATGCACATGGAAGAAATTCTTTCTTCGAAGACATTATTTCAAAGATTTGGTTACTGCGGTAGACTGTCTTTAATTAAATCATTTTTTAGAAAGTAAATTGTCTTTAACCTTTTTACAGCACATTTTCAGAGCTTTTTCTTTCTAATCCAAAGAGATGAGCTGTTATTGTCCCCGAAGAAGCCTCTGACATCACATTTGTACCATCAGAAATAATTACACTGGGTGGAAATGTAGGTCTTCCTGAGCGAGGACTCTGCTGCGAGGGGAGGCAGCGCGCGGCGTGGGGTGGGAGCTGCCTTTGTCCCGGCGCTCCTGGCTAGAGCCATCCCTTCCATTTGCAAATAACTCTGTCATTCACTCGCTGTGGATTCAAGTGTATCCTCAATTCACAGGGCATGGGCTGTCTGTTTAGCTTGGTTTATATTTACATTTTTTCGACTTTATCTTAACTTGTCAGTTTCCCAGATTGAAGAACGTGTCAAGTTCGTTTTTTCTACTGACTGATTTCTCTACTCCCCAGTGTTTTTTGTCACTGGTTTGCTGAAACAGTATTTATATAGCTCCATTGGCTCTAAAGCTCTTACTCCTTCTAACGTTTTGGATTTTACAAGTGAAATGAAAATAGAAAAGAAATAGAGACAATCAAATGCCTGGAGCTTAAAACAAAGTATGTGCAACCTACCATCTCACTTGAAATTTAATAAAAGAAATAATTATGTAAATATAACATAGAGTTATAGATTTATATTTTGTTCATAACACATAGTGTAATATAAGTTGTATATTTTCATGTTTTGGTTTTATGTTATCATTCATGCCACAATAAATGAAAAAAAACGGGAGTTGATGTACTCTTTAAAAAAAATACGATGTGGATTGCCACCATCCTGGGTTTTTGGTTTTGGTTTTTGGGTTTTTTGTTTCTTTTGCATTCCCCTTTTTTCAGTATTACTGCCCTGCAAGGCACCAATAAAACAGCAAATGTGTTCTTTACCTATCCTGTGGTCTGTTTCCCACTTCTTACAGCAAAGGGCGTGCTAGCCAGCCGTCCTGCAAAGAGAGCCAAACAGCTGCGCTCCAGCGGCGGAAAATGGGATTGAGATTCAGCTCCCCGCTCTGCTCAGAGATTCGAGGTTTTCACCAAGCCACAGCACACAAGTGACCCTGCCTTTGAGCCCCGGCCTCAGAGCAGAGGGAGGAGCAGGTCCTGAGGCTCTCCCTGAGCCTGCTGTGCTCAGGGAATACCCAATTATAAACACAGTGACACCGAGCTACGGAAAAAATAGCTCGGCTCCGAGTTAGTCACAATGTCCCAACATGCTGCCTAAACAGTTCATGGAGTTTTGACAGCAGCATATGGCACCAAGTGGGATGAAATGAATTTGTACCTGGTTTTGACAGTAAGTTATTCTGATGGGTGCTTACTCTCAAGTGCCTACGGCTTGACAGATGCCACTCTGTGCTTCCAGATTTCCTAAAGGGAAAAGGCAATATTTGGGGAAGCAGGAGATCCTAAGAGCCTGCCCCCACTGCTTTGCTTTGCCAGGCTGTCCTCTGCTCTTCCAGTGAGTGAGGGGGCACCTGGAGCCTCCCAGCAGCAACCAGAGATCTGTTCTGGCAGCCCCAAGAGCACCTGGCCAGGGGGGTGGAGATGGGCTTCAGAAGAACCATGTGATGGTGGCCCAGGCCAGCAAAGGTCAGAGTGGTTTAACTCCTCAAAATGCCTTTTCCTGTACTGCCAGCAGCGTGCGATGGAGGGACACGGCACACGCTGCCCACCTGGATCAGCAGGTGAGGTCTTCTCACCACCCTACACAGAGGTGGAGTGACTTAGAACTTTTTTCTTTTTCTTTTCTTTTTTTTTTTCTTTTCTTTTTTGTTTTCCTTTTTGATAGAGCTGGTACCCGACAGAAGCAAAAATGTTCCCTAAACCTGTGGTGGAAAAATGTCAAGGAGAATGTGAGACAGTCTGAGCTGGAGATACATCTAAACTGCAATATGTGTGCATAAGGCTGGGCTTTGCAAACCAGGAATGACAACTAGTTAAACACTAAGTGTGCAGCTCAAGTGAAAAAAAAAGTTTCTAGTGTCCTGATATTGCCCAGCCTTGGGAGTGGTACAAATTCTCTCCCTAGACAAGTTGTGAGGGGGTTTTGGCTGGGTTTTTTTTTGTTTTTTTTTAAATTTTTTTTTCAAAAACTTCTAAAACATTCCAGCAATTGCCTGCAGCAGGAAGGAAGAAAATGAGGATAATTATGACATTAAACTATTTTAAAAAGAAAGACGTGTGACAATTAGCGCATTCCTCCCAAGCAAGGAACAGAGCGGGCTCTGTGTGTGTAGGAAAGTGAAAAGACCCCCCGCAGGAGGCAGGGAAGGTTAAGGGAAGCGTATGTGCCTCACCAGGAGCTCGGTGCTGGGCTCTGGCATCGCTGAGAACGGGGTGCAGGGGAGCCTGTCAGTAGCTCTCACTTAATAAAGATTCAGCAATGCTGCAGGAAAGCAACGTGGGAGAGGAGCAGGCAGCGTCTGCCGGGCCAGCCAGGGGAGAACACGCTGCAGAGGGACAGAGGAGCCTCTGAGCACATTTCTCTGGGGGATCTGCTGCCTGAGAGCACTGAGAGAGCTCCTTTCAGTCCCTGGGATGCTCCGCTGGTGTCTGGCGGTGTCACAGTGGCGCTTGGGCACTGCAGTCAGAGATTCGTGAGAGGTAACCACAAAGACAGGCAAAAGAAACGGGGGCTGGAGCATCCTTGGCCTCACTCTGGTGGTGTGGTGTGGGCAGCCCTGTGAGCAGCAGCTGAGCCCCAGCTGCAGCACATCCCTGCTGGAGCAGCTGTGCAGGGCACGCTGCAAGCACGGAGACTTCCAGGAGAGCCGGGCCTAAAGGGCAGTAGAGTGCTACTTACACCTGGAAACATGAACAAGAGCAGCAATCTGAGGGTTGGGCACACTCTGCCAGCCCTGTGTGGCTATTCAAGTTTGAATGGCTTTTTGGGAAAGGTTAGGCTTGGTTGGAATCTCCACTGTGTGTTCAGTCTTAGCACTGTCAGGAGGGAGGGAGGAGGGCTGTGTGCCCCAAAATGTGAGTGACCTGCTGGCAGGAGGAGGGAGGAGGGCTGGGGCCTCCCAAAATGTGAGTATCCTGCTGGCAGGAGGAGGGAGGAGGGCTGGGGCCTCCCAAAATGTGAGTATCCTGCTGGCAGGAGGAGGGAGGAGGGCTGGGGCCTCCCAAAATGTGAGTATCCTGCTGGCAGGAGGAGGGAGGAGGGCTGGGGCCTCCCAAAATGTGAGTATCCTGCTGGCAGGAGGAGGGAGGAGGGCTGGGGCCTCCCAAAATGTGAGTATCCTGCTGGCAGGAGGAGGGAGGAGGGCTGGGGCCTCCCAAAATGTGAGTATCCTGCTGGCAGGAGGAGGGAGGAGGGCTGGGGCCTCCCAAAATGTGAGTATCCTGCTGGCAGGAGGAGGGAGGAGGGCTGGGGCCTCCCAAAATGTGAGTATCCTGCTGGCAGGAGGAGGGAGGAGGGCTGGGGCCTCCCAAAATGTGAGTATCCTGCTGGCAGGAGGAGGGAGGAGGGCTGGGGCCTCCCAAAATGTGAGTATCCTGCTGGCAGGAGGAGGGAGGAGGGCTG